CATGTGGAACGAGATGCCAAAACGTTGAGGATGATTTTCAAAAATATCTGTATACATGTGGACAAGACCTGAGCTGAGGGTGAAAGCAAACACAGTCCTCACATACAACCAAGCAGCAACCAGACACCCTGGGATTAATTAGCTACACAATCCTTTTAACAAAGCTTTTCGTTTCCAATTTGTAGATGATTTGTTCTGTTAGAAAACAGAGAGAGAGAAAGCAACTGAGCTGGATTTTTGTTATATTAAGCTGCTTGTTTTGTACCTAGGAGTTCATGCACCACACTGTAATTTCACTGGAGTGATCGACTGCCATCTAAGCTGCTGGTGAAGAAAAAGAAAGGAAACAAATCTTTTGATAATTGGAAGGTACAAGGGTAGTTTTGTTTGTTTGTTTGTATGGCAAATAATGTATCAGTGTGCAAGTGAAAAAGAGCAAATGAGAAATGTGAGTGCTTGTTTGTGCTTCGGTACTTTCTTATGAGAAAAAATTTGAGTTTTAAACCTTGAACAGAGGAATGTTTGGGGAAGTGAGGACATTTTATTGTGAGACCTCACATCTTTGAAGGGCTGTTAGAGTGTTAAAACTTGGGCATGTAGTTGCACTGGCTAAGGTTAGCTGCTGGAGAATGCATCATGTCAATGAGGGTCCTCACAAATAATACCAAGCGTATGTGTGGCTGTGTGAAAGTCTGTTAGCTGAAAGATCTCCAACTTCAAAGCTCTAAGAAACGTTAAAGCATCACATCACACACACACACACACACACACACACACACACACAAACACACATACACACACACACACATAGTCACTGCAAAACAGCAGATGCAGCCTGTACAGACACACTCACTCAGCGACACACAGAGATACACACCTACACACACACACACACACACACACACTCACACTCACACTCACACTCACACACACACACACACACACACACACACACACACACACACACTTACAGAGTGTTACAAAACCTCCTGCGGTGCACCAGAGATGAGAGGCACAAAAGATGCAAGTAGTGCAGGGAGTGACAGCAGAAAGGTAGGGGGAGAAAAGAAAAAAAGGAAGGCAACATGAAACAGAGGTGTCTACAGTAGTGGAATAGCAAAGTAACAAATCCACTCTTAAACATTATGCAGTTTTTCTCCCTAGAAAGAGTGAAGGAAACGAATTGGGGAGTGAAAGATGGATAAAAAGACAGACTGGAGGAAAGAAGCTGATGAGAAGAAGCCAACTAATGCTTTCTCTGTCACTTTTCACTCCAGTCAGTTTGAGAAAGATTTGGATTCTGCCTCCACTGATTAGGCAGCGAGCCAAAAAAACAGCAGGATAGACTCAACAGTCAGTCTCTGCTGGGATGAGAGGAGAGTGACTGATGTCTCTGTTACTCTAATCACAGCTTTTCTTTTCAACAAATATCCATTCATTACTGATACACAACTGTTGAAAATATATTTCGCACAGTTACAACTACATAGGTGATTATTAAACTTTATTAACAAAAAACATAATACATTTCTAAAGTGAGTAAAGTTGAGTTTCAAAACTGCTACAAACCATCCAACACAAAACTTTTAAATATGAATGTAAAAATGCAGAGTAACAAGCAATTTCCTCCTCTCTTTCTCTCAGTACATTCACTGGAGGACTTCCGCCCCGTCAGTTTACTATTATTGACTCTCGGATGGGATTACCATGGCAACAGGCCAGAGGAAGCCAGCAGCCGACCGGATCTACCCAGCATCGTCGGCTGATAGCTCACAACGCATACACCTGAACATGCATAAACACAAACACATGCACGCACACTCAATAACGCACACCAAATGAGACAGAGAGAACCAGACCACTTTAGAGAGACAGGGACCAATTGGATGACATTTAAATGGATGGAAGCCCCAGCGGAACGAAAGAGTTCATTTCCACCGTTCATGTCGCAGTTCAGACCCCCCTCTGGATATCAAACTGAGATCACGCTGAAATGGCAGAGCGATGCCTGTTGCGAATCGTACTTTTCACAGCTGAATCCTATATTTCTGCGAGAGTAGAGCAGTGAGAGATAAAAGCGACAGGAAAACAGAGACTTCAGATTTACACAATCAGACCTGCTGCTCCCAATCAGCCATTCAGGCAGCAACGCAGCAGGAGAGGAAATGTACGCACAGCTCCAGTGCATGCCAAATGAGAGCCACTCTCTGGAGATCTGTGTGTGTGTGTGTGTGTTTGGGAAAGAGGTAAGAAGGGAGAGAAAAAAATGCAATAATGAAGGCTGGTAAAATCAGAACCTGTGAGACTCGATCGATCAAGTGTTTCTACTCCTCACACTTTAATGACCTGCCTTGATTTAAAACAAGCTGTACATTTAATGCCGGGTTTAAACGGCCTCAAATTAAAACACGATTGAACACATCACCACATACAAATTCATGTACTGTATAGCCTCTGTGGCCTTTTTTATTTGTTAGTTTATGTATGATCTGCATCACAGGAGGGGAATGAATATTAAAGAGGCAACCGTGACCACAGGGAAATTACAAAGAGCGGCTACCAAAGTTATATCCGCTGTGGTGAAAGATCAAAAAGGGCAGCTAAGATTAAAGAAGCACTCGAGCACTTCAGTAAAGTTAGTGGACTTTCAAGAAACAGGTTTTAAAAAGAATGATCAAAGTGAAGTAGAGAAGGTCGAGATACCCTGACTTTTAGTCCCTAAAATGGCTCTAGCGCCAAAATCAGTGGCTCCTACATTTCCCATCAGTCAACTCAATAGCATCATTCATTACACCCTTGCTGTTGGCGAATGTCCCTCTTCTTTAAAACTCCACAATCTCATCGTTGTAACTTTCCTTTTCCTAAAAATGTGCAGTCTCCACACAAAAGCTGAGCTGATCACTATGACATCATCTGGGTTATTTTCTCAGACTGGACGAAGCTCTTTCAGAGCCACAGGAGACTATTTTCAATCTTTGTGACGAGAATAAAGCGACAATGCTGTGTTCAAAAATCAAAATTGAAGACAGATTAAAGCAGTGGTTCCAACCTTTTTGGCTTTTATCACCTCAAATAACCTACTTGTGGCCACTCGACAGATCACATACTGCATGTCTTTGAGTTGTGAGTAGTTCAACAAAAGAGTGCTTTTTGTTGGTCTAAAGAGAACTATCCAGTATTTCACAGAAAAAGGGCAAAGATAAAAGAAAAGTCTGAGAAATTAACATCTTACTGTGTCCCAGAAACACGTTTTTCCCCTCTCTCCTATGCAATTAATCCTCTTGTGACTCCTCATATTTATCTACCAACCTTTTGTGAGGTCCAGGGCAGCAGGCTGGGTTAGAGAGTTTAGCAGCAGATGTTAACGCAAAGATGCAAACAAAGGCGTCAAGTCAAGCAGAAATGTGACAGTTTAAGTCAGTGAGTGCTGCTGTGCCAAACTACTGTAGTTCAGCCAACAAGCCTGTGCACATGAAGCAAAGTGAAAAGATAATTTGGAGCTTAGTTTTTTGTTCCCACGAAACTGTAATTTTCTCTGTGAGAGGCTGCCAAAACAACTGCAGTTTCTACAGCATTCAAAATGTCCTGCTTTAGTCTGCTGCTTCGCTCTCCTGTCTCTATCGATTGCTCGGCCCCTCAGAGTTCTAGATCAGACGAGAGCAGGGCAGTAAAAAGCAGAGCGAGACACTGAAAGCCAGACACAGAAAAAAGACAGATATTCAAAGTCACAACTCTGCTGAGAGCTGAGGTCAAAGGTCGTAATAGACAAATGTAATTTGGCTCGGTTTTTACGTAATTCAGAGCGGTTCAGATTCCTAAGCCTCTCTCCTTCTATCCCCTGCTCACTCACTCGTCTCCTAAAAATCTCTCTTCGTCTCTTTCTTTCTTTGTTTTCATTCTTTCATTTTTAATTGTGCTATTTTAAATCTCGTGTTTTAAGAGATGTACAGTTTGCATAATTCATTCAGTAGTGCTTAGCTAGTTAGACAGGGAACTCCACACACATTTACTCCATTCCCATTATACCCCTGTACCTTTATTATAGACTGAGGCTTATTATTTTAAGTTTTTATTTAAAGAAAACATATCTGGGAATTTATCAGTGTTTGTTCAGCATTTTTATTATTAAAAACTAAAAAAGAGAACCAGCTTTTAAAAAGCTTGTTTGTAGTGTAACTGTATAACCAGTTAATCAGGCCCGTAATAGGCACATCATGTGCACTTATTCCCTGTTTTTTCTCTTTAATGTCTACAGAAAGAATAATTTTCTCAACAGCAAGAAACTAAAACATATTGGCTGCATGGGGACTTTAAATCCAGCCGAAAATTGTTTTGAACCAATCGACTTTTAAAAATCTAATTCATTATATACCATAATGTATCCAACAGCTGTTGGGTTTCCTCAGTGTTGTAGTTGCACTGACATGTTGGCCATGTTTTTGCATGTATTGTGCAGTTTGTGAACAGCCTCCTTTACAGGCACCTTCTCACAGGGGAATTCCCGTAATGAGAGACAAAACCAGCTGGACCCAGGTGTTCAGTATAAACCTGATACATTATTCCAAAGGGCTTCCCTCTCCCTCCTCCTCTACCTCTTTGTCTACATTCATCTTCCTCCTCCCCCTTCCACTGTCTCCATTTACACATTCTCATTAACTTCATCTTCCTCAACCTCGTTGTTTTCTCTCCGCCTCTGCCTCCACATTCTGCTCTTCTAGCATAATATTCTCTTATGCTAACTCTTTATAACCCTGTCCCTTCCCCCTCTTTATCTTCATCCTGCTACCTCCACATCACCTTGCTTGTCCACCTTTGTCTCATCCTTCACTGCCTTGTTTTCTTTCTTTATCCATTATTGCTATCTTCTCATACTACTCCCAGTCACTTCCGCCAAAAATCTGCTCTCTCCTTCTCCACTTCCACCAACACACACACACACCTTTGCTAAATGAGCCAATGAGTAAAATGAGAAAGCGGAGTTTTGTCGTCCATATTGTTACCTTTCTCACAAGTAGCTCCTCCGTAGCTGGGCAGGCAGAGACACACAAAGGAGTTGATCTCATCAATGCAGGTTCCTCCATTCTGGCATGGATTAGACTGGCAGTCATCAATGTCTGGAGGGAGAGAAAGGGAGGGTTTGAGTCAGATTAGATACAAAACACACACACACACACACACACACACACACACATGAACAGCATTTTCCAAATGGCTACTTTTTAAACTACCTGCCGTAGCCTGTTACTGAACAAACTCCTGAGAGATCAAAACTTTTGGAGAGATTAGAGGTGTTTCTGAGAAAGTTATAATTAAAGCGAATTGATTGAACTTCATCAGTGAGCGGTTTGGGATGCACTGAAGCGCATGATGCTAATTGCAATGTGTTTGCAGGACGTGCCGCAGTTCTGCTGTCAAACCTGAGCGGCAGGAGCGAGGGAGAGTATAGAGTTGGGTGGAAGGTAGAAAGAGAGAGACATGGCGATTATAGGGAGGAAGACAATCGGTTGGATGAGCCTCCATCTTCAACAACAATGCTGCCCACGCTGATGCACCAGCCGTCTTAGCTACAAATCCATTTTAATATGAACAAAAGTGACCGAAATTATGAAACCATTTCTTAAATCTCTCAGATATAATATCAAAATCAAGTCTAAATGTTTGTGCAAAATGTAAACACTCACATGCAAATTCACCAACATACAAACACACACACACACACACACACACACACACACACACACACACACACACACACACACACATGCACATAACTCGCAGAAGTGTTGCAGGGGAGAGAGTTTTCATTCTGTTGAAAAATGGCAACTGTATTTCTCTGGCTGATCTGGGCCTGGGGGCAAAATCATTAAAACTGCAGCTGGTATCCCACAACTGAGTGAGTCCCAGGGGCCTTGACAAGAGGTCACGGAAGGCGAGGGGAAGAGGAAGTGAAAGGAGACAGGAAAAAGTCTGAAGAAAGATGTGGGAATGAAAAGATGCTCGAAAACACAGAATATTGGTGTGAAGGAGAGGTAATGAAAACAAGGGTGGGGGAGAGAAAGACAGAGGTGGTATGATGCTGCGAGTCTGGGAAGTTGGCAAGTTTCAGGGTTGGATTACAGGGGCTTTGCAGGCAGACAGCGTTTGGGGCGGAAGAGTCTGTTCAGATAAAACAGCGTGACAGCTTCATTGCTGGTGCCCTGCTTTGGGCTGGCTGATATTAAAGGCTGAATTAGATGCAGGAGGTAGAAGCCCAGCCAGAGGAGCTGGAAGAAATGGCATCCGTGTTGGTTTCGTGTATCAGCGTATATCTGTGAATACCTGGCTGTCTGTCTGACTCATGATGAAACAGAAATAAAATCAAAAGAAGAGACGAAAATAACAAAAGGTGGATAGAAAGAAAGTCACACATATCCCACAGCACAGAGAATGACAATGAATTGTATGTCTTGTTCAGATAATCCCACCTCAATTGGAGGACTGATGTGAGTTTTAGGGGAAAGCAGTAGCAAGGGCTTTTATCTTTAAAGGACACTGATGAAACAAACTTACTCATCACAAAGAATTGTTGAGACTTCCATTATTTTTAGCAAGATATCTGCATTACAAGCTGGAGGTGTGGATTTTGAAAAGAAAAGAGGGAATTGTAGGATTCACCGTGTGTTTGAAGCTTGACTCATACTAGGGACGTCTCCCAACTTTAAATAAGTGTAATACTAAATTGTTAGAGGACTCCTTTAATCTTGTTGTATATGTGTGAAGAGCTCTTTGTTAGAGGTGGGAGGTACATGCCTCTAGATTAGTCACAAAGTAAACAGTAGTTTACAGACAGCAGCATTATTGATAAAGCAACTGGTAACTGAAGGAAAAAGTAGGGTTGATTAATAATAATGAATTTCATGTAAGCTATGTGAATTGGGGGCTTAAGAAGCTTAACTTATTATATTTGCATGGGTTCATATGGTGTGCCGCCCTCTACTGGTCAGGGCTAATTCTGCAGTCAGGCTCAATCTTCAGTTGAGCACGGACAGGCAGGACGGACAGTGCTGGATACGTGTTGCTGCTGAATGTAATTCTGACACGCTTCTGCCTCAGAGACGATTCGTCTATAAGTAATATGTGTTAATATGTAAAAATGTGCTCTGCTAGCTAGCATGCAACAGTAGCTAGCTCTGTTCTGTGACTGACTTTGTCACTTAGCTGTTGTGGTGAGCTGTATTTTTAACACAGTACAGTGCTGCTTTAAGCTTTTACATTATTATGTGTGATTTTGTCCTGTTTTCTCCATGGTGCAAAAGTGGAAATGACTTCAGTAAAATACAAGAAAAGTCAAGCCATTTGTGTTTATTGAAGGACTTTTGAGTGTTAACTGGCTGTCTAGCTTTGCACAAGAGTACGCGCTGCAAGGCCAGTACAATTATGATTAAAGTTTCAGTTCAACATTGAGCAAGCAATCACCAATCAGCAATGCGTGAAAACATTACTCTGCAGGATTATCTGCCAATTGTGACACCATCAAACAAGAGGAACCAGTCTCTGAGGTGCATGACCATGCAATGATTTGAAGTGAAGAGAGGCCACGCTGAGTTAATACCAGTAAATGGTGTGGTGTTGAAGTTAAAGGACAAACTGCTGTATAGAATCTTCCTGAGGCAATTAAACTGCCTGCAGGAATCTAGATGTAGCGAGATAAATGTAAGATACAGAGCAGGTCTAATTTTAGCTGTTTTCTAATTAAAAAGAAAACATGATTAAAATAACCTCTTTTTCTTTTAAAAAAAAAACCTACACCAAACATTTGAAGTATTTCTGGTGCAAACAAGTACAACTGGACAAAACAGAACGATGTGACCCGTAAAGATGCATTTGATTTATGACTGCATGCATACAGATCCTTGAATGAACCTCTGAGGAGATCCATGCAATTTAAATATGATATATGATGAATGATAGACACTCTCTTCCTACGCTGTGAACCAACAGATGAGCCGTTTGCCAGTACAGCTGTTCACAAAAAAAAAAAAAAAACAGCTACTGGGCCCACATCTGGCCTCATTACGCACTGTAGCACTGAGGTAAGGAGTCGAGGAATTTAAGGAGCACTGGGGTCAATAAAGCACAGCTCTGAACATCAGCTATTAAAGGAGCCACAGTAGGCGGCTAAACATTATCTGTCATAGGATCCAACATGATGGTACTCTAGACATTGGCAGCTGGCATACACTGACCTTCATCTTGTCAAGTTTAAAGATATCTGAAGAAATTCAAGCACAAAGGTCAATAAATACCAGGCTAATCCTCACCGGTCAATCAATACCACAGGTAACTTGATTGTATGAGATGGGCATTATCAAATGGCTGGCCTCATTGAACTTGAGAAGATGTTGAGGAACCAACAGTAGCCTCACATTTAGGTGGTGGGCTTTACTCATGTGTGCTGTCTTTTTACAGTAAAGTCTAAAAACTAGAGCAAAGAAATTACAATACAAGATGTGTTTAGATGTACGCCAGACAGCAGTCACAATGAAATGTCTCTCTCTGTACAGTACATATTGTGGTCAAAGTTCAAGTACAGTATAATTAAAGGATCATTCTCAAAAATGTTTGTCTTTTGTCTTTATGTAAAAAAAGAGTATTGGTCAACATATTGTTATCTGACATCTGCAACAATCTCAAACTCTGCCTACAAGCTTGTTTTGTAACTTTTTTGGGGGGATGTGCGCGTGCTCCACCAGGTGAGCTAGCAGTGTGGCCTGTTTTATAACTTTCAGTCACACTTTCATCAGTGGATGGAGTCTGCTCAGTTGTCACAGAGATATCATCATGTGCCACAAGTATGCAACGTCAACCACATAACAGTGGAATATCTGAGGAAAGTTAGGCTTTTCCCCCCATGGTCAAGAATTAAAGATTTTCTCCAGACAGGTTTTAAGACATATACAATTACTCTGCTCAGAATTATAATTATGATTTATGGGTTTTAGGCAAAGAAGTTCATTTACCTTACCTTTACCTAAAATTTACTCTTTCTTCCTCACTGAAACATTCGGAATCTATGAATATGCAAACATTGTTCATTTCATTAACTACTGGACATAGCACGTCTCCTACTTTTCTGTCTGTTCTCAGTGAATGTGCACTGAACTTCAGCAGACGAAGTGCAAGTGAAGTAACAATTCGCTAAACATTTTTGAGTGGAGGAGGACGTAAAACTGAATAACTAATTTATAAAATGTACCACTGTGTACCATACAGTTGTGACAGCACATTGTTCCTCTGTGTCTGTCTGTGTCCACCTTCCTCACCTCCACTCAAACGGAGTGACGAGGGCAGGAGCGCAGCAGGCCTGTCCACTCAATGTCCACTCAATGTCAACTCTGCCCAACTGGCTTAATGAGACAACCATCCAACTTAAGCAGGTGGCAGTGTGTATCTTTGTATGACTGTATTTGTGCATTTGTATGTGTGTGTGTGTGTGTCCAACACTCTCTGGCTCACTCCCCAGTACAACAAAATCAGGCCTGGGCACTAGTACAGTCTCCAGGGAGTCGAGGGGAGCAGTGCTCCACTTATCTGCTGGCAGAGGAATGGATGGAGGGATAAACAGGTGCCAGCCACTGTGGTAATTGCTGGGTGCAGCTAATACACTAGCGACGCTACTAGCTTTTCTTTGAGCCAACATTATTAATCTGAATCTGTCAGGAGAGGCAACAAATGAATGTAAAAGTTGATGTGGTTAACAAAATAGCAGAGGACATACTGATATGAAATTGAGGTTTAAATGTGGTTCACCCCTGATTGAAAAATACATAGTTTGGATGTTTGATTGCAGGATAAATATGTAAACTTATCTTGTTGTCTATCCCCCGCCTCTCTGTGTGTATCTGAGGATAGCTGGTGAGTTTGAGGACAGAAGAAGGGGAAATAGAGATAGAGGAATACGGGGGAGGATAGCGAGAGAGCAGCCAGACAAAACCGGGGGTGGTGTCGGGTGACAGAATATCTGGAGGCTTACTGCAGGCATGTGTCGAAACCAGGGTATGAATAATTGAAAAGAGATAGAGAGACAGAGAAAAAGAAAGAGACAGAGAGCAAACAGAAATCGGGTGGGAGAAGG